TATGTCCTCCCCTTGTTCTACCATTGCTAAAGAAAAAAACCCGCAGTGTAACCGGTATTGGCCAAACATCCCAATGCTGCAAAACGACCCTGAAAACTACTCGATTGGAATCACACACAGCGGCAACATCGCTCCCCCCCCCCCACTACGAACAACTTGGCAGGACCCTCCTGCCAACGAGCCTTGAGGCTCAGTGAGCTCTTCCTGTGTAAATCAGCAGAATGAAAATAATAATGAACAAAATAAGTGGACATCCCCATCCACGGCCTTCTGGAAGCGTTCATTCAATCCAGTACACACGCCGGACAGACTCCGACATTGAGTGCACTGCGTAGAGAGGGCACGTGACCTGACGCATAGACACCGCGCATTACCATACACAGTGCCTAGCAAGGCACAAGACACACACAATCCGTCACTCAGTGTAGAGAGCATACGTGGATGCAGTAGGCCCTGCACGAAGCAATGCCAGCGACAGCTGCTAAGCAACGTGTAAATCATCTGTCTAGACCAGAGAGATGGCAAATTATATGCATGAAACAACGTTCCCATGCAAAGTGCCATTTTACAACACAACAAATTGCTTTTCGTGCGATTTATACCTTTTCAGTTTTTCTATTTATTTCAATCACAACACCAATGGCGGTGGAATTCCGTCAGGATGGGGAAGTCGTGACTCAGCAGCGGTGGTGGTGGTGTCAGGATGGAGAGGTCGTCACTTAGTAGTGGTGGTGGTGTCAGGATGGAGAGGTCGTCACTCAGTGGTGGGTGTGGTGTAAGAGTGGAGAGGTCGTGACTCAGTGGTGGTGGTGGTGTCAGGATGGAGAGGTCGTCACTCAGTGGTGGTGGTGGTGTCAGGATGGAGAGGTCGTCACTCAGTGGTGGTGGTGGTGGTGTCAGGATGGAGAGGTCGTCACTCAGTAGTGGTGGTGTCAGGATGGAGAGGTCGTGACTCAGTGGTGGTGGTGTCAGGATGGAGAGGTCGTCACTCAGTAGTGGTGGTGGTGTCAGGGTGGAGAGGTCGTCACTCAGTGGTGGTGGTGGTGTCAGGATGGAGAGGTCGTCACTCAGTAGTGGTGGTGGTGTCAGGGTGGAGAGGTCGTCACTCAGTGGTGGTGGTGGTGTCAGGATGGAGAGGTCGTCACTCAGTGGTGGTGGTGGTGTCAGGATGGAGAGGTCGTCACTCAGTGGTGGTGGTGGTGTCAGGATGGAGAGGTCGTCACTCAGTGGTGGTGGTGTCAGGATGGAGAGGTCGTGACTCAGTGGTGGTGGTGTCAGGATGGAGAGGTCGTCACTCAGTAGTGGTGGTGGTGTCAGGGTGGAGAGGTCGTCACTCAGTAGTGGTGGTGGTGTCAGGATGGAGAGGTCGTCACTCAGTAGTGATGGTGGTGTCAGGATGGAGAGGTCGTCACTCAGTGGTGGTGGTGGTGGTGTCAGGATGGAGAGGTCATCACTCAGTGGTGGTGGTGGTGTCAGGGTGGAGAGGTCGTCACTCAGTGGTGGTGGTGGTGGTGTCAGGATGGAGAGGTCGTCACTCAGTGGTGGTGGTGGTGTCAGGATGGAGAGGTCATCACTCGGTAGTGGTGGTGGTGGTGTCAGGATAGAGAGGTCGTCACTCAGTAGTGGTGGTGGTGATGTTAGGATGGAGAGATCGTCACTCAGCAGGGGACCGTGCGACTGCTCGGTGCACGCACTCGCCGACGAGCAGAGCGCATAGCAGCCGGCGCGTGCCGCGATTGCGCAAGGCACCGCGACGACCGCATGATCGCACGCGGTTGCGCTGACTCCAGGAATGGCTCGGGTCAAATTCATAAGGAAGCCGTCGATGGGTTTAGTGTTTGCCCGGATAGAACTGGTGTCCCACATCAGTTTTACCATCATCACAATTTAGTGAATTAACAATTTAAACATCCCACAACGCAGACGCCAACAACCCGAACAAACGTCACGGCAAATGCGTCGATTTCCGCAAGGCATAACCGCACCTAAAAACAAACACCCGGCTCAACCGCCCGGAGCCATTCAACTCTGTCCCTTCAAAAGCCACGAGCAACGATTTTATGAAATGACTTAACGAGGCAGCCAGGGCGACCCGCTGAATGAGCGGTGAATGAGCGGCCGCGCTGCGCTATTTGTCTCGCGGCACGGCCACTGCCACCGGCTCCCGTCAAAAGTGACGCTAAAAGCTGCAGTTGTCACATTTGTCCATCGCTTGAGTAATATCCCTGAAATAAAACTTAACCCTGGCTATTGCACAGAGCGCTCATCGCCAGCAGCGGGCTCGGCCACAAGAGCGCCTGCTGCCTGTGCCACCACCGCGCCTCTACGCTCGGTCGTCCACCGCGTCTCTCTCCTGGACCATCTCCCTGCACCCGCAGCAGCTCACGGTGCTGCTAAACCTCAGCAGCAGCACAAGAGCGACTCACAACCTCCTCGCCCTCTTCCCCTCTACGCCAAGAAGTCGGGCCGCCACTGCCAGGTGTGGATTCTCCGTGGCAGGCCCCGCCGTCTGGAAGGCGGCAATCATCATCGTCGTCCCCACTGCTGCTGCACATTCACAGCAGCAGCATGCAATCTGCCCTGACTTTAAGTGACGCTTAAAGGCCCACATCTTTCATAAGGCCCCACCTCTTCCTTAAAGGCCCCATCTCTATATTTAAAGGCGCCGCCTCTATCTGTAAAGGCCCCACCTCTCTCCCCTGGCTCTCAAGCGACACCAAGCTCCGCTCCGCGCTTCAGAGTCACCGTCATTTACGACGTCTGCAAAATATAACGCGCGTTACAGATTGCATCTCTTTATTATTTAAATCAAAATTTTTGTTGTATTACTTGGATGATCCCTTGATGTGGAACATCTCATTTGCAAAGGGTGTCCAGGACATCGAATGGCAGACGCACACGCTCACTCACCACGCGCTCACTGGCGTCGCGTACACGCGCGCTTGTTAAAGCGACCCACGGCGCGCGTCGTCCGCACGTACACGGCGTCACGTCGACTCGTCTTGACTCCACAACAACCCACGCTCCCGGGTGGCAGTGGGTGACGGGGGGGCTTTCGATCAGGGATTGGACCGAGGGGGAACGATGTCTCCAGCAAAGTTTTGTGCGAATGCACGAAGGCTTTTGTTTAGTTGCAGCATTCGTTTTCAAAGGAGTAACACAATAAATGAGCAGGACATACACAGCCACACGGCCTTCTGGGAGTACATAACTTCACGAGCACTGACTTCAAGACAGGTTTTAAGACAAGAACTGGGACCCATGGCATTGGTTCAGGCAAAGCCTGAATCTGCTGATGAGACACTGTACGTTGAAACCAGTGCAGAGATTTGCTTGCCTTGAAACACTGCAGCTGAAATTATGCACTCCCACAAGCCCGTGCTGTGAGTCAGAAAGACTTGTTGTTCACGTGCAGAGACGGACATTGGAAGCAGACATCTGCTTGTCTGTTTTGTTATTTATATTCTCCACAAGGACGCAAACGAGTGTTTTCAAATGAGTCATGTTGGTTATGATGATGATGAAGTCGATCATAAAGACGTCTGCACTCCCCGGACGGATTCGTGTGTGGCGATGGACGTGGCAACAAAGGAACGCGTCACTGAGGACGCGACATCACCGGGCTCCTCTCTCCCACGGCCACCATGGACCTCGCGACACCGCGCTCGAGCGCGACACCGCGCTCGAGCGCGACACCGCGCTCGAGCGCGACACCGCGCTCGAGCGCGTCCCCTGCGCTCGAGCGCGACACCGCGCTCGAGCGCGACACCGCGCTCGAGCGCGTCCCCTGCGCTCGAGCGCGACACCGCGCTCGAGCGCGACACCGCGCTCGAGCGCGACACCGCGCTCGAGCGCGTCCCCTGCGCTCGAGCGCGACACCGCGCTCGAGCGCGACACCGCGCTCGAGCGCGTCCCCTGCGCTCGAGCGCGACACCGCGCTCGAGCGCGACACCGCGCTCGAGCGCGACACCGCGCTCGAGCGCGTCCCCTGCGCTCGAGCGCGACACCGCGCTCGAGCGCGACACCGCGCTCGAGCGCAGGGGACGCGCGTCCGCTTTCCACCAACGGACGATCATCACAGAAACGGCGAACCGCGACCGCGGCGAATGCCAAGCTGTCAACCAACGCGCTGCCGACGAGCTCGCTGTCCGTGCGTCACTCTGGCGGCGCCGCTGCAATCGGCGCAGCGTCGACTGCCGCCTCCTTGGTTGGAGAAATGATAACGCGTTTGAACAACGCCGCTTTTCCCTCCCCGCCGTACGAAAGCAAGAAGCCAGCGGTTTGCGGAGGTGGATCGGCATCAGCACGACGCAATAAAGCGGCGAGCACGAGCTCGTGGTAAGCCGCTAACCCAGGAAGCCAGAGAGGAGAATGGCCGCTGGTCGCACGTGGCCTGCCACGGCACACGTCTACGCAGAGGCACACGTACAGGGCAGCGTGTGTCGCTATGCACGCGTGTCGCTACACACGCGCGCCCATGTTGCCGCTGTCACCTCCACTGCCCGCTCGGGTCTCTGGTCGTTGGGCGGAGGACCGACTCGCTGACCTCCAAAGAGCAGGTCAGCGCAGACTTCATACCCTGTGGGCCCGAGCAGGCGCCCTTATATGGCACGAGGCCTCATCGTGCACCCGTCGAGAGTCTTGATAAACAAGGTCACCTCGAAGCAGGAGCTCCTAACATCGCGAGAGATTCCCAACATTCCATCTTGATTCCTTGAAATGTCCGATACATCCAGTTCTCAAGTCTATTTTGTTTAACCAGGTGAGGACTCGCGATACCGGGATGAGTCTCATTTGCGAGAGCACAGAGACAAAGTGCAACATTAACACAGGGGAAAAAAACGACTGCGTTACACAACAGCCAAAACAGTGCATAACCATAAAGCAATAAGAAATACAACTAACTCTACAGGAACAAGAGTTGGTTCCGACAAATAACTTTGAACTCACAATGGTGATCACTCACTGGTGGTGGTGAGTACAGGGTGGTGATCACTCACTGGTGGTGGTGAGAGAAGGAGAGTGAAGTCGTGGACCCTCCCAGGTCACCTGGTGTCACCGATTCCTCTGTGGCGAATCTGCATGAGAGAGACAGGGAGAGAGGGAAGGATTATTAATAGTATTACCACATCGAGTTACAAGTCACTTTCTCAATAATGTCCTACCAAGTTGCCGCAGTAAGGAGCAATATTGCTATCTGCAATCCCAATTGTGTAATTTTTCACCACTGAGATGTGATTTGGCCATTACCAGGTACATTTCCAGTTTTTTTTAGCTATGGGAGAAATGAGAACAATTGGAGGAAACCCATTCAGACTACGGGAATAACATATAAACTCCAGAATAACAGAGTCGGGAATCGAACCCAGGGCCCTTCTGGGTGCGAGGCACCAGTGGTACCACTCTGCCACCACTCTGCCACCCAAGGAAACTGGATCGCCTCTGCAAGAGATTAATTATATCTGCAAGGGATCCGGCCCAATGGTGATTGAAACTCATGAGTCTTGTCCAAAATCGGATTGCGAGTGTGGATGTGGTCAATGGTAGAGGAACCTTTCCTAAACCCTGCCTGCTCCCATCATGGTCGACTTCATTTTTTATAATTTTATTCCCAGTAGATTTTTTTAACAATTGACATTTGCTTCTCGCCCTGTGCTCATGCCACGGACCGATTTCGCTCGTTCAGTTCCAACCCCACCCGCTGCGCAACAAACCAGGTCACCTGAGTTCGATTCCCGCTCGTGGCCAACACCGGTGATTATCTGAACCGATCCTGGGCGTCCCCTAGGTCGACTCAGCCTCAAATGAGTACCTGGTGCGATGCGTAAAGGCGGCCGGGCGTAATGCTGACCACCCACCCCCTCGTGTTTCGTACCGGCATTCATAGGTGCTACTCGCAAACAGTACTTGTCCCAACTGTCTATTAACCACTATACGGGGGATCTTTTATTACCTCGCCGAACACGGGGGTTACATTCCTGGGCAAAATTCCGCGTTGGACGAAACCGCGTTCAATCAACAATAGACCTAATGGGAAACAATAGACCTAATGGGAAACAATAGACCTAATGGGAAACAATAGACATAATGAAAAACAATAGACCTATTGGGAAACAATAGACCTAATGGGAAACAATAGACCTAATGGGAAACAATATACCTAATGGGAAACAATAGACCTAATGGGAAACAATAGACCTAATGGGAAACAATACATCTAATGGGAAACAACAGACCTAATGGGAAACAATAGACCTAATGGGAAACAATAGATCTAATGGGAAACAATAGACCTAATGGGAAACAATAGATCTAATGGGAAACAATAGACCTAATGGGAAACAATAGACCTAATGGGAAGCATGGGGTCACGTTCATTACTTGCACGTGATTTTCGCACTTGTTATTCTAATGAGGGATCCTGAGTGAAGCTCCACGTCTTGCGTGTGTGTGTGCACTCTTTAGTTCTCGATGTAAACCTCAACACACACAGCCGCCGCCTCCATCCCCCCTCCCTTGGCGCGGCACTCGCACGCCGACGAGTCGCCGTCTCGGCGTGCGCGCGACTCACCCCCTCCACGACCCGACGGGTATATTGTATAAGACAACGTGTGTGAACGTGCCCTTGACATGCACATAGCCTGGCACGAGCGCCGTGGTAACGTCACCGCAACTTCGTGGCTAATGGCGGTTGTTGTTGTGGAACATTTGAGTTGTGCGCGGTGAGTTACATTGTCACATAACAACAAGACCCGGCATTCACCACGAAGAGGCGGCGACTTCACCAAGGTGCCAGGCCAGGTGCACACACACACGGGGGATCAATGGCTCTCACGGTCGATGCGTTGGCACCTTACAACGGATGCAGCCCTCTCGGGGCACTGCCTGCCGAGAGAATCTTAGCCGCATCGTGGACCTCGGTAGGGGGACCGTGCGGAGCCAAAGCCGCGTGAGACAAAGCCGCGTTGGGGCGCAGTCTCTCCCCGTGCAGTTCTTCTTCACGACGCCTGCATGAATCGCGTGCGAGGTCTGTCGCCAGCGGTCGAGCCGCGGGGGGCGCGACCGGCGAGCACTTTGCCTCGATGCTTTTGGCGCGAGGGGTCAAACCCGCGAGGGGTCAAACCCGCGAGGGGTCGAACCCGCGAGAGGCAAACCCGCGATGGGCAAGGCACTGGTGTCATTAACACGCAACGCGATGTGCACTATTAATGGAGCTATTTGCATCTTCATCATCATCATTATTGAACTTTGCACATTTCCTCAACAGTTCAAGAGAGGCAGTGGTTCTCAGCCGGATGAACGCGGCCCCTGGGGGTACGTGAGGTGGTTTATAAATGTGTGAAATTATATCGTACGTGAGTCATTGCTGAATAATCACGTATGACTCTGCCCATACAAAATAACTACGATACAATTTGAATCCATATGGTAACCTATAACGATATAAAAGAGGTTTCTAAACTCATCGATCGTAAGCAATGCGGGTTTCCCAGAGTAACCGGCCCGATAACCACGTTGGGTCAGGCAAGGGGGCATGCGACTCGGCTGCAACAACATTAAACAAGGCGGTGGGGGTCACGGTGGTCGCCAAACACGAGTCGAGAAGCACCGCGATGGGGACGCCGCGATGGGGACGCCGCAGTGGGGAGGCCGCAGTGGGGACGCCGCAGTGGGGACGCCGTAGTGGGGAGGCTGCAATGGGGACGCCGCAGTGTCCCCATTGCAATGGGGAGGCCGCAGTGTCCCCACTGCAATGGGGAGGCCGCAATGGGGAGACTGCGCGTCCACCGCTCCTGAGAGCAGCAGCAGCAGCCCTTCTCTCTCTCGTTGGGAATTGGCGCCAAGCGCGTACAGTGCGTCACGTGGCGCGAGTGGAGTGGGGGGGGCGGCGCGGCTCGGCTCCACCACGGGTAACCGAGCCGCGCCGCATGCTAATGAGCTGCTCGTGACGTCACAGAGGGGGGGAGGGCAGCCTCTTGAAGAAACGTGCGCGCTGAGTTGGAGGACTGTTTTGCTGCGACGAATGTCCACACGATGAGGCCAATTTGTTAGACGATATCATTTGTGAGCCAGGTCGCTCCTGAGAAATGCGTCAATATCTCGGTAAGATTAAAAAAGGTGTTTAGTTTAATTTGTATATTTTTAATGTGATTTATTGACCTTTCTTGTACAGTGCGTTCTCCTTTAACGCGGTAGTTGCGTTCCTGAAGAACACCGCGTTATGTAAAAATCATGCAAATTAGTGAAAAACGCATGTAACAGTGTTAGTCGCTAAGCCACTCGTTGTAATTAAAGTCAACAAAGTTTGCATGCCGAGCGAGACGACTAATATCGGGTAGCGCACAGTCCGCGATAACACCTTAGATGAGTACGCATGCTGAACAACCACCGAGGTGCGTCGGGAGCGTCTCGCCGCATCCAGCAGCATCCCACTGCCTTGTGTGATGCTCCGCCAAGGCTGCCGTACGACCGCTTACCCCGACTCGCGCGACGGACTTCCGTTCACTCGATCGCGCTATATCCAATTTAACAAACATGTGTCCCCCAAAACATTAATCGCGTTGTGAAAACACGCAGCGTTATAGCAGAACTGACCGTACTTTGCACTCCTATCCAGCTTCATAGCTCATCGGATTCCTCGTCCAGCAGACGCACAGACTCTGAAGAGTGCCACGAGAGTCGCCGCTCAAAAAAAGAAAGCTGCTCGCTGATGTGAGAAGCCAAGTTGCTGCTCCCACCCACCGGGTCCAGGTGTCAGAGACATATTGCGAGGAGCGGCATGCGCGCCACATTGTAGTTCCAAGGTGTGAGCAGCGCAGCCTTTCTCGGGAAACGGGGCGGTCAGAACCAGAATCTTTGTTTATACCGGAAGAAGAATCCGATGAGCTGTAAAGCTCTTTCCCACAGATGTCTAGCAGGGGCACGGGGTCAGATCGTTACAACAATAAACAAGACAAAAACACAAAAAGTATAGGAAATGTAAACAATCACTTAAAATCTTGACTTAAAGCTTTCGTGATTATAGAAATTCATACTCTTTTTATTTTTCTATCTACGTGACTTTACCGAAAGACCCAAAGAGTAATAACTTAAAATATACAAATCCGGCTCCTCTTCACAAATGAAGCTCAACTATTTTTGTATCTCACCCGGTAAAGCCCACTTGGGTATTCACGTATTTCTAGGAAGCGACCGGGCCAACAATAAGCTCGCTCAACAAAGTGGCTCGTATCGTGCGGACATTGACAGTGCCCAAATAATCGCTCAACTTTGCACCTCCTGTTGACGGCTCAAGGACAGCGGGCCGAGCACGGAGGGGGTGCCGTGGAAGGCCCAGAGGAGGACACGGACCACTGATGGGCGAGTGGATGCAGGTCTGAAGCCAGTAGATTGTGTAACACGCTCAACACGGGTTGCTTTGTTTGTTCAGAGGTCAACCCCTTGCATCCAGTCATACAAGTAAAACTCATCCTCGGTCTAGTACACGGACTGTTTGCACCGAAACTAAACCCAAAATGGCACGCCACAAATTGCTCTGGCCGGTGACGTAATTTCGTGCACATACCGCGAATGCTCCACAGTACGCGGGGGTATTGTTCTCATGAGGTCCTGTGTGGCCTCGATGTAAATGTCGCCCGCTGTCTCTACCGCGCTTGCTTCCGCAGCTCCTGGCCTTGCGCCATCTCCCCAGTTTTCCACAGGTGCCCACTGAGTAATCTGTCATGTTTCTTGCTCTCAATCAGTCATTCACTCCCTCCTTACGTGGCCCCAGGACCAGAATCCCTCCTGATCCACGATTTGCCAGAGGCGGCGTTCCCGGTTGGTTCCCAACAATGCCACCTCACATTGGCTGCGTCTCTTCCAGTACCACTCCGACTGGCCGGCATTTGGATCCAAGCCGTGTGGTATTCACCCTGACACACAGCGCCCCGACAACTCCCATTGACATCATCATCGTGGTGATTGTGCTGTTATCGGTCTAAACGTAATCTGCCCCAGTCGACTGTCCCTGCAGAGAATGTTCAATTGAACGTTGTTTCATGTTTGTGCGATAGTTTTGATTTCCCACGCGACGACG